AGCTAATTGTTGGCAAGGCGGTAGGGAGACTGGAATCCTCATACACTACTGGTGGGAATATAAAATATTGAAGCTGCTTTGGGCAGTAGTCTTGATGTTCCTAAAAAGATTAAACATCCTACTTCTAGGTATATACCCAAGAGAAATGAGCACATGTGTCCATGCAAAAACTTCTATACTAATTTTTAAGCAATATTATACTGGCCAAAAGCAGGGAAAACCCATATATTGATAAAATAACTGATAAATGGATAAATAAAATGGAATATCCCCATGTAGTGGAATATTATTCAGCAATAAAAAGGAATGCAGTACTAATACACCCTATACCATAGATGGACCTTGAAAACATTGTGGTAAGTAAAAGAAGCTAGTCACAAAAGGCCACCTGAGATAGCAAATGTCTATTTGTGTGATTCCATTTATGTGAAATATCCAAAAGGCAATTCATAGAAAGAAAGATTTAGTGGATTGGGAATCTGTGGGTGAATGGGATGTGACTGCGAATGAGTAATGGGTTTCCTTTTGGAGTGATGAAAATGTTCTAAAACTGGGAATAGTGATGGTCTCACAACCCTGTGACTGTGCTAAGAAATCATTGCATTGTACAGCTTAAATGGGTGAGTGTATGGTATGTGGATTATTTCTTTATAAAATTGTTAATAAACAAAACAAAATCATGTTACATAATTACACTGTCATTGAATTCCATTATAATTTTAGACTCACGGACTGAACTGAATGCCCAGGGTTTCAAGTGACCCGTCCCAGTACAATAAGCTGGGGACCACAGAGCCAGGCTTCCTGAACATCAGGCCAGGTGTCTCTACACTGTGACTGCTGTAGGAAGCTTGACCCCAACCGACCATAAAAACCACACTTGGAGTTTTTATTGGTTTGTGTTAACAGATGAGCTACTGAGGTTGGTGTTGGTAGGAGTTTAATTCTTTCTCATGTAACCTTTCCAATCCTGTCTCAGTTTGCAGGAGTTCTTGAGGAGGTGACTATATCTGGATCAGCTCTAAGCTTCCCATATCTAACTACTGCTTGCAACAGCACCCACTGAGGCAGTGCAGGCCATTTACTATTGCAGGGTAGATAGCAACAAGGAGGAACTTGTAAAAAAAGAAAATAAGAAACCCCAGGAAATTTACTCAGCTCTGAGAGTGACTATACTACCCTCTGACCTTACATTAGAAGAGTGACATCTCCAAACCATGGAACTCCTACTGCTGCTCCCGGAGTAGACTGGAGTGTTTGTTATCACTTTTATTTTACATGGGGCTGTAGGACTGGACTGGAGGATTCGTTCTTCTGTTTCTTGAGTTGTGAGAAGTTAAAAGTTGAAATTGGAGCCCGGCCAGTATGGCTGGTTGAGTGTTGACCCATGAACCAGGAGGTCACTGGTTCAATTCCTGGTCAGGGCATATGCCTGGGTTGCAGGCTCCATCTCCAGTAGGGGGCATACAGGAGGCAGCTGGTCAATGATTCTCTCTCACTATTGATGTTTCTATCTATCTCTCCCTCCCCCTTCCTCTCTCTGAAATATATATATTTAAGTTAAAATAGGAAGAGCAGAAGCCCTTGGCAGTTTTTTTATATTTGTCAATTACTAGATATGTGGCCTTGGGCTTTTCTGAGCCTCAGATTTTCTGTAAATGGTGACCCTAACAATACTTTTTCCCTTTGGGGTGCTCTTAAGGATTAATCCCCATAAAATATTAAATCCCAGTCCTAGCACAAAATAGTACTTAATAAACACTAGTTATCGTTGATGATAATAACATCATGTTTTGACTTTCAAGGCAGTGAGAAGGTATCTCCATTGGTGCCTAAAGTTGAAAAATGCTGCATTTACAAATCCTTGGCCACATCCTAAAAGATTTTAACTGTGATGCTTGAAACATTTTTCTTACGTAGGCAGAATCCTTTATTTAATAACAATTTATTAGGTGCCTGCTATATGTAACCATGTTGGCAGGCACAAGGGATTATAAAGAAAAAGATGCTTTTTGCCTTGGAGCAGTTCGTACTGTCATAAGCATTAGCAATGGCTATATTCTCAACTAGAGATGCCCGTGCACAACATTCATGCCCTGGCGGGGGGTGGGGCAGGGGGGAGCCTCAGCCTGACCTGTGCCCTTTCACAGTCGGAGAGCCCTCAGGGGATGTCCATCAGTCGGACATCCTTAGCGCTGCTGCGTAGGTGGGTGTGGCTCCTGCCACTGCCACTGTGCTTGCCAGCTGTGAGCCCAGCTTCTGGCTGAGCGGTGCTCCTCCTGTGGGAGCGCACTGACCACCAGGGGGCAGCACCTGCATTTAGCATCTGCCCCTGGTGGTCAGTGCACATCATAGCGACCGGTTATTCTGCTGTTCGTTAGATTTGCATATTACCCTTTTATTATATAGGCTATAGGATAGGCTGTAGCTAACCTACCTTTTTTGGTGTCATTGGTATTTGAAGCCAACTGCACGTGTATTCTAATATAAACAAAAATAAATGTGATTGTCTTTTTTTTTTTAACAAGTCCACGTCTAAATCATCATACTTTCGTGTTGTTGGTATTTTAGTTTCCAGCCCCTGGCTTCTAATTAATAACTTATCTCCCCCAAATGCTGCTACCAAGTGTCCGTTTACCTGTCCCCCACTCCTCATGCTTGTACCCCAATTACAAGATTATTATAAAGCAATTATGTATTGCTGTGTAAAAAAAAAACCAATTTACTAAAATTTTTAAGATAATTGTTTGAAAATACATTGTTAATGCTATAATTTGTAGTGGAGTTAGATTAGAAACTCAGTCTAGTGCAGTGGCTTTTAACTTGGTCAGATTTTTATTAAAAAGGCAACATTATTGATTTCTTAATTGTCTTAAAAATGTTCAAGTCTATGGCAGTCTTAGTTCAGTTTATTTGAAACAAGGCTCATATAAACCAAACATCCCTTATTTACCTTGTATATGGTACATGAAAGCCAAGTTCATCATCTCCTTTTACCTGTTCTGCTCTTCCAGTCTCATAGTCTTGCTAGAATGTTAGAGCTGGGGCACCATCCCAGCCTTCTCACTCTGTCCCGCTTTAGCAGAGGAGAAAACTGGACCAGGGCAGTTAGGGAATGCTCAGGGAATCACGGTGGACTGAACCGTGGTGTAGAGAGGCCCCTTTCCCTGGCTGGTTATGTTTCTCTTCCTTCTACCCCCTTCTCTGAGCTGTCACCAAGTCCTGTTACTGTTTCCTTGAAGTGTTTCTTGGTCTCCTCCCTCCCCGTTTCTTCCTGTCTAATCTCGTCCCCCAGTTTCTCACAGTGGGGAAAGCCTGACAGAGCACTTTGTCTCTGGGACATCCAGCGCACAAGATGAATTTTCTCTAATTACCCCTGTCAGCATGTCGCCCCTCTGTTCCCAAGCTGCAGGAGCTCTGCTTCCTGTGGCAGCAAATTTCAACACTTCTCTCCGGTGCTCCCTCCTCCAGGCCCAACTTCCCTGTATGTGCCCAGCCTCATTTCCCTTCTCCTCCTGAACCCCACAGGCCCCAAGTCTTCTCTGGGTTCTCTCCATGAGGCAGCCATGTGTCCTTTATGCCCTTAGTCTGTCCTGCTCCCTGGCTCTGCTGTTCCTCCTGCCTTTCCAGATACTCATTTTTCTAGACCGAATTGAGATTCCACCACCTTTGTGATGTTTTCCCTACCACTCCGGTGATAACCCCCCACACCCTACTCCCCAGCTTTTTCCTCTTATGAACCAACACGTAGCACTGAGCATAATTGCCTCTTGTATATGATTCTCGGGTTTTTCCTTGCAATATTTGATGCTTTTTGAAAGCAGGGCTTATGTTTATGTTTTTCTCGCATGTTCCATGTTTTACAGTGCCTAATAAGTGGTTAGTAAATACTCCTTGCTGATTAGGGGCTCTTTGAGCTTTTAAAAGATGCTGTCCAGAGCTACAGGCAGTTCAGACATTGTACAGGGTCTGCTGCTTGGATCGGGATCACTTGTTAATATTGCAGAACAGTGTTCCCGTGTCCGCCAAAGTTGATAGGATTGGCCGCTGTTGTGTTCATGATCCTCTGGGGGACTGGCTATATGGTATGGGGCTCACACTAGGAGTTTATGATTTGTTGGTGGATCGGTTGCAGGGAAGTGGGGGGCTCCCCCACTGAGAGCCTGTGCACCTGCCTCTTGGAGATTATAGTAGGGAATATAGTTCCTTGAGCATGGGTAGGAGTGGCATTATCCTCATAACTGGCAGATTCTCGGCACACCAGTGTGAAATGGGAACTGGCCTGGCTCCCTCCCACTGTGTGTCCTTGAGCCAGTAATGACCTTGGGGCTCTCTTCTCTGCAATACTGGCTCAGTGTCCTAAGATTTAATCTGATCTTGTTCTGAAGTATTTTTTTCAGAGCCCGGTAAATACTGCACCTTTGCAAAAAGGTTATGTTGTAGGTTCCTGGTATTAGAAAAAGGAATGTGCATGTTTTAAAGAAGACCAGGTCTGCTTTCTGAATTTTAATGTTCCTGTCCATGTCTTCCTACCTGTCCCGGTAGTCATTTCTGTCCTGAGACAATTGCAGGTTTCGCAGCACCTTGAATTATGCTCTCCCAGAGGCATAACCCCTCTAAGAATCTAGTCCGCAAAAGCCTCGTTAACTGGAATTATTTTTTTTCTGTAATGTCAGCAGGACTAATTCCACCCATACAAAATGGTTTGGCCTTTTTCCCGTTTGGTACAAATGAGAATTAGTAAAAACTCAGACTAAAGTGAAGTTGACAAGCTCTGGCAGGTTGTGAGCTCAGAGCCTCTGGGCTTGGACCCCTTGTTCACCTTGTGCTCTGAGACCCTGCCCCACCCAGGAAATCCTCTCTTTCCATCTGTGACACCTACAGCTGTTCCCTTTGTTACTGCCTCCATCACACCCAGGGAGACCTGCAGCTCTTCACTTTGGAAAGTCACTCAACTGGAGTCACTGTAACGTTTTGTTGTGTTTTTTTAATCCCTGTAGGTGGATGGAAGTCTGTTTAGTTGAAGAATTGCCACCAACCACTGAGCTGGAGGAAGGGCTCCGGAACGGAGTTTACCTGGCAAAGTTAGCCAAGTTCTTTGCCCCCAAAATGGTATCGGAGAAAAAGATCTATGATGTGGAACAAACACGCTATAAGGTAAGTGACATCTAATTGGTTTTGGTTTCCATCTAAAAGTGAAAGTCCAGTATTTCCTTTCCTTTCCCTTCTTTTAGTGTTTCTACAAGGATTTTGAGGGAGGCGTCCTGTGCTTGGTCTTTGAAGCCTGTTAATAATCATTCCTGAGGCAGCAGCAATTTTAAAAGCAAAGCGTTTCTATTTCTGGGCTGAGGCTGAGAGACCTCTGATTTGTGGGGCTCCCCCATCATTCCTTCACGGAGGTCATTTTTATTAGCGCCAGTAAATGTAAAAGGGGGGGCACTCTACCCCTCCTTTGTTTCACTACCACACAGTTTTATTACTCCCCTTATTCTCATCAAGGAATAGAGTCCTCAGCTGGGACTTGAACTTGTGGCCTCAAAGAGTTAGGGCCAGTGTGATAAAATGAGTAGTAATATTAAATACTCAGGTAGGAATTCCTTTCCATTTGGCATATAAAACAAAATAAAACTAACCTTTTTGTATGCAACTAGTTTTCAGAATTATTTCATAGCTAATTAGAGACGGCGTGTGGGGGAGAATACAAAGTAAACACCAATCTTGTATCAATTAAAAAAAATCTGATATTTTAGAGAACATGTTTAAGTATTTACAGATAAAGTAATATCTAGGATTTGTTTTAAAATAATTAGAAGGAACTTGGATAGATGATTCAAGACTGGCCATGAGTTCATAATTGTTAAGGTTGGATGATGGGTGCACAGGGATTCATTACACTATTCTGTCTACATTTTTAAAAATTTCTTTATTGATTAAGGTATTACATATGTGTCCTTATTCCCCCATTGTTCCCCCCCCCACTCATGTCCTCACCCCCCCTGTTGTCTATGTCCATTGGTTAGGCTTATATGCATGCATACAAGTCCTTTGGTTGATCTCTCCTCCTAATCCCTGCCCTCCCCTACCTTCCCTCTGAGGTTTGAAGATCTGATCGATACTTCTCTGTCTCTGAAACTGTTTTTGCTCATTAGTTTATGTTGTTCATTATATTCCACAAATGAGTGAGATCATGTGATATTTACC